ATATTTGCAATGCGACAAATTATGATATTTATTAATATATTTGCATTAATAAATTTGATTACTTTTGCAAAATTTCGATAGTGACAGCATCATAGCGGAACTAGCACCGGTGCCGTGACCAAAGGCTACTATTTTATCTGGATTTCCGCCAAAGAAGTGTATGTAATCCCTCACCCAGTCGACGGCCAGTATCATGTCGAACATGCCGTTATTGCCCGGCAATTCCTTCGTACCTGTGCTCAAAAATCCTGGAAAGGATTGCTGACTGAGTTGCTTTTCTCGCTTGTATCGTCTCATGTACTCTTATTCTAAATTCTTGTTATGTTACAAAGTTGTGCCGTAGATTTCAAAGTCATGTCTACGTAGATTATTCTACATAACGTATTCGCTTTTTCTTGTCCTTTTTCATGTAAACAATATAAACTATATGTAGAACCCATGTAGCATCCCAGTAAGCAAGGAAAATTAAATTAACGTTTAGAAACGTTGACTTCATGTGCATTAATTTGGCATTTTTTAATAATATTGCATTTATATTTTTCACATGTTATTTTGCAATTTGATTTTTCTGAATGCTATTTAAACATTTTAAAAACATCACAAAAAATATATTTTTCAAATGTTACTTTAACATTTATTTGAGATCAATGCAACATCTTAAAGATATTTTTGACGATTAAAACGTTATGGCAAGCCTATTTCAACATTACTGAAACTTTCAAATCGCAGTCAAAGTATGTTTATAATGATGTTCGATACAATATTAAACACTACATATTTGACAATATTACAGGTTTTTAAATATCATTGTAGTAACGTTATATTAATGATTTCTTGCTTACTGCGATAAATCTCTAAAAAACTTTCTAAAAAGTTCCCAAGTCCTCCAGAATATTTTTAGAATTTTTTAAGAAATTTTTTAAAGATTTGTGCTATATAGAAATATTGTAAATTACATTAAGATGTACAAGAAAAATATAATTAAATTATGAAAATTACTGTTTTTGTTTTGGATATTATCCAGTAAGCAAGGAACATTAAATTAACGTTTAGAAACATTGACTTCATGTGCATTGTTTGGACATTTTTTAATAATATTGCATTTATATTTTTTACATGTTATTTTGTGATATGATTTTTCTGAACGATGTTTAAACGTTTTAAAAACATTACAAAAAATGTATTTTTTAAATACATCGTATTTTTTAAATACATGTATTTTTCAAATATTACTTTAACATTTATTTGAGATCAATGCAACATCTTAAAAATATTTCTGACTATTAAAACGGCAACTCTATTTCAACATTATTGAAACTTCCAAATCGCGGTCAAAGTATGTTCATAATGATGTTTGATACAATATTAAATACTACATATTTGACAATATTACAGGTTCTTGAATATCATTATAGTAACATTGTATTAATGATTTCTTGTTTACTGGGTAATTATAAATTTAATGTTTAAAACAGAGATAACAAATTGCATGAAATTCTCATTTCATAATGTGATAAATTGCTCAAACAAATTACACAAGATCTCCAGGTGATGTTCTCAGGACGTAGGGACGTTCCCAGAACGTCTTTAGAATGTCTTGTAGAGATCCGTGCTGTTTAGATGATAGATTTAACTTTATAAAAATATAAGCTCTTCTTAATTAATTTTACAGCCGTATGTTTTTGAAACGACACATTTAAATTATTTATTATCTACATAGATAATCTCACACATAGTTTATATTGTTTACGTGTAGACATAGAATATTATAATTGTGCTCAATCCTTTTCTATCATTTTCTATCTATGTTACGCTTTTCTCGTCGCGTCTCTTAATTACCTAATGACCCCAGTCTATATTGTATGGACACAACGATCATCTTCTTCTTAATTAGGTTTCTCATTTCATATTGGCACGCTGACCCTTGTCGAAAACCGCCGCCATGAATCCATATCAACACAGGATACCCGTCGCTAGAATCCGGAAGCGAGGGCGTGAAAACGTTCAGAAAGAGACAGTCCTCATTTCCCACGATTTTATTGCTTCCATAATGATTCGGTTGAGGACAAGGCGGTCCCCAAGTAGTAGCATTGTATTCTCCTTCAAGTTGCACAGGCGTAGCTCGCTGTAAATTGTCTTCTTTCAAACAATACGAACACGCTATCTAAGTCAATTGTATCGGTAAAGTGAAGCATTTGCTTATCCTTTCCAGTCAAAATTTGGGAAGTGTACAACTCCAATATTATTGATGTAAATTATGCAATATATTGTTTTTCGTAGTCAAGCTACATGTAAATTACGTCATTTACTCTTTCCTGTGTTCTGCAGATAGAACTGATATCTTGTATCAAATTCATTAAATTAGGCAGTGGCAGGATACGTGTGCTGAGAGATAATGTGATACTCTGTCCATATCGGTTTTATATTAATAATATGGTGTAAAGGATACAATAAAGAAGAACTTCCTGCTTTTTCATAGGATATATCTACCCAGATAGTATAGAGAATTCAAAAAGAATTCAGTCATATGTCACCAATTCTGAGTTTATTTTTAGATGCAACAAGAATTCTTTTCACTGAACTGAACTCTAAAGAATTGTTTTTGTATCTAAAAATGAACTCAGAATTGGTGACATACGACTAAATTCTTTTCGAATTCTTTTTAAATTCTCTGTGTTATCTGAGTAGTAAATAACAATTAACAGTAACGTTACATCAATTTCCAAAATAAACATATTGAAGTATATTATCTGCTTAGTGATTAGCACAAATACACAAAAATATGTTTTCATACAATAAAAATTTTTTCAATACATGAAAGAAATCATTTAATGCCATGAAAATTGTGCTGATATTCTGATGCTATAAAAATTATTGCTTATTTTGCCAAAAAGAAAACGCAATTAATTCAGAATTATCCCAGACAACATCTCCTGAGGATGTCCTGAGGACGAAGAAATGTCCTCAGGACTTCCTCAGGATGTAACTGACACCTGTGCAGTTAGGGATTGTATTAATAAAAAGTAAATGTTTTGTTTAAAATTATGGCGTAAAAATTAGTATTTTTAAAAATAAGCATATTTTAAAAGTACTATTTTTGCTAGATAGTATAAGTGCCATATAATATATATGTTATATATAATAATAGATATAGATAGATATAATATATATATATATATATATATATATATATATATATATATATATATATATATATATATATATATATATATATATATATATATATATATATATATATATATATATATATATATATATATATATATATATATATATATATATATATATATATATATATATATATATATATATATATATATATATATATATATATATATATATATATATATATATATATATATATATATATATATATATATATATATATATATATATATATATATATATATATATATATATATATATATATATATATATATATATATATATATATATATATATATATATATATATATATATATATATATATATATATATATATATATATATATATATATATATATATATATATATATATATATATATATATATATATACCGCGCTCTAGTAGGAAATTATAACATTAATGTAATATTATTGTTAGTTGCTGTTTATTGGATAGTTTTTATTACTCGCGACTACTTAACGCGATATAGTTTATAGCAGGTCATTGAATTCAATTATAATACAATTGAGTGGATACAAAGCAGACAGCATTAATGTATTCGATTACATACATTGTGATGTATCCGCCCGTTTATATAACGTTTCAATAGCATTCTCACTATGTTATATCTGATACACATTGTACGCATTGGTGTACACTATATAAAAAACTAGAGTGATAATTTAGGACAATATTATGTTTCTGTAATTAAAAAAAAAAACTAATATTTGAATTTGTGGGCTTTTAAATCATTCACATCTTATTGAGTACTTTTAATTTAATTTAATTTAAATTTTTATATTCATGCGTGGTTTTTGATAGACTTTCTTGCAAGTGCAATATAATACTATCATTACTGATGATATTTTTATTCAATATATAGAGTATGCAAATCAATTAAAACTTATTTAATTATGTTAAAAGTACGCGCAAAATATATTATATATATTTATAGATTTCTATTGTTATATTATCAACATTTTACCTGGAATCTATTTTGTCCCGTTGGAGGCTGTCCAAATCTAATTCCACGAAAGGTATAGAATCCTTTATTCAGATCGCGGCTACCGATAATGCGCGCTTGCCGACCATTTTTATTCACAAAAACCACTGGATCGTCTTCGGGAGGCTGCAAGGCCGGCATACCACCGACAATTCTTTTCTGTCTAATTAAATTCACATCTCGTGCGTCACTAAATGAATAAAGGAAAAGGATAAAGAGCAAGCTCACGCGTCTATTCATTTCGAATATGTATGTTGGAATGAAGGAACTTTATTCAAACTCAAATGTAAGTCACGCTTGGACAATCGATATAAGGTTTGGTGGGGGATTCAAGATATTATAGTAACTTACTGAGGAATCGTTGTAAACTCACATTCTTATAAGTTCTAAGTTTGCAGATCTTTTTATACATTTAAATTTATTTATTTATAGGATTAACGAGAAACAGATAAGTAAATAAATAAATGAACTTAAACTTTAATTATTACATAGAACTATTCTCAGCAAACACAATAATATAACAGTTACATCGTCGTAATATAACGGAATGTAATGTGCAATATAACATGTTTGTTACATCCCAGACGACACAAATGTCCAAAATCGAGTCATAAGACATCTTTAAGGCAACTTTAAGACATCTTTAAGACAATACTTTATAAATTTGTCTTAAAGACAACTTAAAGACAACTTAAAGACTTGTTAAAGACGTCTTATGTCCCACTTTTAGACATTGTGCTGTCTGAGATGTAACATATACGTTAGTTGTAATTTCCCACTCAAACGATATTGCAGCTATGTAACAGAAATATAACATGTTACTAAAATGTTATATAGCTGTTATATATATTGCTGAAATGTTAGCTGAAAAATAAATTATTATTTCCCAGTAATTATAAGTATTTAATTGTACGCAAAGATTACAAGCTACCACTCAATTTAAAATATCAATTAATTTGTAAAAGTATGCTCCTTAAAATATTATAATTATATACTTCGTATAAAAAATATTTTATAGCGCTCTTTGAATTCCACCTTCCGCTAAATGTAATCATTGTCAGTAACATTCAGTATGCAACGAAGCAATAATTTTATAATTTACCGCTATCTTGATGTTTTTCATCATTACGCGCGTGTACAGATTCGCAATGAAGTATATTCAATATTTTGATGAAACTGCATTTTTCTGTAGTTACCACTTACATACTGATTTTACACATTTTTATCGACAAATTTATCGACATAAAGTTGTTAAATAGCAAGATTTTCTGGTACACAAAATCCCGTAAGGCCAATGGTCTCTAGTATTATCTCGTCGGTGGTGCAAAACCAAAGTTTTTAAGTTGATGATTCTCAAGATTCAAAAATGTTTTTCAAGTTTAGCGCTATATGGCATATTATATCTATTGGGCGGAAGATGGCGACTTAGATCTTCCGGAATTAGCGCATTGGTTGGTTTCTACAACCTGGCAATCCTGCACTCATTCTCTGTTCGACGTGGTTCGACGGTGGTCTCGTAGGTATGTAATCAAGTATTAGTTTGTAGCAGAATATCCGTTTTTATTTATGCATTCCAATCAAATCCATACGATAAAACTTGTAATTCTGTTTCCTCTGTTTTTTTATACTGTTTTAGATATGCACGATATTTTTATGAATTGAAACGTAAATTTAGTACTTTGAGTCGTTTCGAGGTTAACGTAAGGTGACGTGCACAGCGTGTTGTGTCTAAAAAGTTATACGACTAAATAGTTTTGAGTAAATTAAGAGATTTTGTAGTAAAGTTAAAAAATATTACGAGTAACAAGTAGAAACTGAGTATCATATAGCTTTTGAAGAAAGACAAATACATGTTAAAAAAGAAAGAAAAAACATTCCGTACAAATACCGGCAACTACGTGTTTCACAAAAGAACATTAACAAATGTTTTCTTATAAAATGGCATCGATAAGCACACTATTAAATTCATGCGATCGAAATTCGAAAGAGTTCGAATTATTAGTACATGATTTAATAGTTAACAACAGCGACGTGCCATTTGATAATCGAGAGGTAAAAAATATCTTTTCATTTTGTACAAAAAATTCATACGATACAAATGATTAAAAAGCTTTGATTAAGTTAAACAATATAATGACGAAAGATGATCATTTTATTTACGTGAAAATTTCACGTGCTGCTTATAATATACGTTATTATAATTTTTTTATTTTTACCTTTTTGGCTTTGTCCTTTGGTAACATTTTTATTGAGAAATTAAATCTCAATCGATATATATATATATATATATAT